TTTATACTTTGCTTTTCATAAGATATTAGAGTTCTCGGTCTAGGACCGTAAACACCATGTTTTGGTGTTGTTTGGACCGAAATCACATGTGATTTCGGTTGGGCTTAATGTTGTTTTGTTTGGGTTTGGGGATTGGGCTTAGTTATTAGGTCTAGGTATAAATAGTATCATTTCAGCCTTTTAAAGTGAGTGGGACGTTTTTGGGGGCTGACATAAGCTTAGAACGTGTTTTGGAAAGAAACAAGAGAGAACCAAGTGTAATCAAGAATCTTATGTACCCGACTATTCAATAATAGTGTGCATTGAAGATTAATCCTCTTGTTCTTATTCTGTATTTCGTCTTGTCTAATTCACTTGATTGGGATTTCGCACCATCAAGTGAATCCGATTGATACATCGTAGCATTTCAGGGTTTTACAGAATTAAAATAATCAAACAAAAATCATAAAATTTAAAAAATCCAAAAATATGTTTATTTCTGTTTTTATTTCTTTTTCAGAAAAATCAAAAATCCAAAGATATTTTATTTTTACTTGTGAGTGTATTTTTAATATTAAATTTATTTCTTAGTTATTTCTATTGTGTGCTAAGTTTATTTTTACTTTTATTTTTTATCTCAAAGTTTCGTTTGTCTTAAAAAGCGAATTCAAAAAGAAGAAGAGACTCAAGGAGAATGTATCGGAATTTTATGAGCAAGGAGAAGAAACTTGGAAAGGAGTCGATGGTTTTTACACTTCACTCTATTTTCACAAGGAATTGAAGGATTGAAACTATACAAATTGTTAGTTAGGCAGTATCTTTCTAAGAACTGTCGTATTTAAGGAATTAAAAGTCTGAAACTGTACAGATGTCATGGCACCAGGGCGATGCACCTCGCAAGGCACGATTATCGCTGAATGTCTCGCCAAGGGCCAAGTTAACTTGTTTAACTTGAAAAACTGTATTGAGATCTTTGATCTAGGATATACAGGGGCTAACATCAAAAGGGCCATGAGTAGTTCTCCGGTACTCAACAAATCGCAGTGCGTTCCTCGGTGTTCAAACAAATACTGCGAGTAGTCTCCTTCTTTGCCAAGGCTGGGTCCTTAAACAACTGTGGTGAAAAGGGTCTTTATGATTCTGTGATCCACAAGGACTTTTTAGTCATGATTACTTTTCAAGGCGCAACGGTGATCGTTAAAGAACACTCATTCGAAGGAACAAGAAGTGAAGATTATTTTTTAACATTCATTTTTTTCAACCCAGAAGCAAGGTGAAGTTGTACTTGAAGTTATGTGATAGATTGCATTGAAGCCTCCTCAATCAATTTGCTGCTATCTATGAACTTGCTGAAGTGATCCAGAAGAATTGGTCTCTCTGTTATTTTCTCTGAAGTATTTCAAAGCTGAAAGTGTTGATTTTCATGAATCTTTACAATAAGCCCCTACACCCAATGTGCGTTCAAGTTCAAATATTTGAAGGAAGTCCAACTGTTCAAGATAAATTCATTCATGCAGAAACTCATATGTTCAAGTTGTGAAGAAATCGAAGATAAAAGCTAAAGTCAAGAACGAAGAAAAGATTAAAAAAAAAAGCTACAAACCCAGGGGGAGATTGTTAGGTCATAAGAAAAGAAAGCTATAAACCAAGGGGGAGATTGTTAGTTCATAAATTGTGGTTTATACTTTGCTTTTCATAAGCTATTAGAGTTCTCGGTCTAGGACCGAAAACTCCATGTTTTAGTGTTGTTTGGACCGAAATCACATGTGATTTCGGTTGGGCTTAATATTGTTTTGTTTGGGTTTTGGGCTAGGAATTGGTTATTAGGTCTAGGTATAAATAGTGTCATTTGAGCCTTGTAAAGAGAGTGGGACGTTTTTGGGGACTGCAATATGCTTAGAACGTGTTTTGGAGTGAAATCAAGAGAGAACCAAGTGTAATCAAGAATCTTATGTACCCGACTATTCAATAATAGTGTGCATTGAAGATTAACTATTGTGTTCTTATTCTATATTTCGTCTTGTCTAATTCACTTGATTGTGATTCCGTACCATCAAGTGAATCCGATTGATACATCGTAGCATTTTGGGTTTTACAAAAAAACTCGAATATACCGTTGTTCACGATTTTCCGTCCTCTTTCCATAGAGATCCATGTTGATATATAAAATAACAAACTTTTTTTTTCGAAAAGAATTCACTTCGTTTTTGTTGTTTTTTTTTCAATATTTAAGTTTATTTTTATCCAAAAAAAATTAATTTTACCAAAAATCTCAATTTTTTGTCATCTGTTAATAAACATTAACGTCGATTAAAAAAAACTCGATTAGTTCAGATTCACACTGTGAATCTAAACTGAAAATATTTCAATTTTAACATTTACAATGTGAATCTGACTTATTATTTCAACCAATGTTTTAAAAACCGGTTTTTTAGTTGAACCGGTATGATGACCGGTTCCCGGTTCAACCGGTTCGACCGCCGGGTGAACCGGTTTTCTATATTTTTCATGTTTTTTTCTATTTTCTTATACATACATACATATATAAATCATGAATTTGATTTTTCCAAGTTCAAACATTAAAAATACACATGAAATTAAGTTGTAGATGAATCCGTATACATTAAAATAACACATAACCATAAGTTTTAATGTTTTACATTAATCCATATACGTGAAAAAGAAAATAAAGTATAATACCGAAACGAAATATAGTTTTAGATGAATACAAACACATAAAAAAAATTTATAACATTTACCATATGTTTTTATTTAAAGAAAATTAAATAGATTTGAAAAAAATCACCAAAGTGTATTATGTAAATGGTTATTTTTCATGTGTTTTTATTCGGTTTAACCGGTTCAACCGGTTTATTTTGACCGGTTCAACCGGGTTTTTCTAAAAACCGCCGGTTAAATCCAGTTCAGGAATCAGTGTAAAAACCGGTGATAGTTGAACCGCTCTCTCCCTCGGTTCCCGGTCCAACCGGTTCGACCGGCCGGTTCAGACCGGTTTTCAAAACATTGATTTCAACTCTTTGATCATTTAGAAATTAAGTGAAATTTATATATGAATCGAAATATATTTCAGTATAGTTTTATAATATTTTAATGTTTTGATTACTCGTAAATTAGTTTTATAAAATCAACAAATGGATTTCACATTGTGAATCTAAACTGTATATAATTTAGTTTTCAGAATTCACAATATAAATCTGACTTACTATTATTCACACTGTGAATCTGAACAGATTCACAATTTGAATCTTAACTGAAATTTCGATTTTTTTTTCTTAAACATGAATATGAATCTATGCTTAAAGAGTACAAAAAAATATGAATTTTGATATATTTATTAATTTTTTTGGATAAAAAATAAAACTTAACTTTTCAAAAAACAAAGAAAATGAAGTGGGGTTTTTTAAAAAAAAAACATATATTTTTTATATATCAATATGGATCTTTATGGAAAGAAGACGAAAAATCATGGACAACGGTATATTCAGTGTTTTTTCGATAAAAAACATGACCTAAAAAATTAAACGAAAATAAATAAATGAGTTTTGATATAATTTGGTGCATGTGTGTCCATTGTAAAAGTTTACAACATTTCCTTTTGCCGTTGATTGTATTATATTACGAAGATTTAGATTGGTTCATTGATTCTTTGATTAATAATGGTTATTTATTAAACTTATATATATATATATTATATATATATATATATATATATATATATATATATATATATATATAGGGAAAAGTTCAATAGAGAACCATTATTAATCAAGGAACCAATCTAAAGCGTCGGAATTTAAAGCGATCAACGACAAAAGGAAAGGTTGTAAAATTTTATAATGGACGCACATATACCAGATTATAACAAAACTCACTTCTTTTTTTTCATTTAAAATTTTTTTTAGGCCAAGTTTTTTATCGAAAAAAAAAACCGAATATACCGTTGTTCACGATTTTTCGTCCTCTTTCCATAGAGATCCATGATGATATATAAAAACCGAACTTTTTTTTCTCGAAAAAAACTCACTTAATTTTCTTAGTTTTTTCAATATTTAAGTTTATTTTTATCAAAAAAAACTAATTATACCAAAAATATTAATTTTTTGTACTCTATTAATAAACATCAACACCGATTAAAAAAAAAAAAAAAAACCTCGAACAGTGTAAATTCACACTGTGAATCAAAACTGTAAATATTTTAATTTTTAACATTCACAATATGAAAAATCTCGAACAGTTCAGATTCACATTGTGAATCTGAATTACTATTATGCACAGTGTGAATCTGAGAATGTTCACAAAAAAAAAAAAAAAACCTCGATCAGTGTAGATTCACACTGTGAATCTAAACTATAAATATTTCAAATTTTAACATTCACAATGTGAAAAAGCTCCGATCAGTTCAGATTCACACTGTGAATCTGAGTTATTATTATGCACACTGTGAATCTGAGGAGGTTCACAATGTGAATCTGAACAGGTTTACAATATGAATCTGAACAGGTTCACAATGTGAATCTGAACTGAAATATCGTTCTTTTTTTATTTTTTTATTTTTAACATGAATATGAATCTATGTTTAAAAAGTACAAAAAATATGAATTTTGATATATTTATTAATTTTTTTCTATAAAAAATAGACATTAACTTTTTTAATCAAAGAAAATGAAGTGGGTTTTTTTCGAAAAAAAAAGTTCGGTTTTTATATATCATCATGGATCTCTATGGAAAGAGGACGGAAAATCGTGAACAACGGTATATTCGTTTTTTTTTTGATAAAAAACATGGCCTAAAAAAAATTTTAAACGAAAAAAAGTGGTGAGTTTTTTTGTAAATGGTGGATTTTTTACGGCGTGTGTGCGTCCAATGTAAAAGTGTACATCTATTTCCTTGCCCGTTGATCGTTATGATTTCCGACGTTCACGATTGGTTCCTTGGTTAATTATGGTTCTCTATTGAACCTCACCCTATATATATATATATATATATATATATATATATATATGCGTTGGAGAGACCGTTTCTTATTTTGTGCCGAAGCTATTTTTAAATCACAAGCTGAAACAGGTGAAATCAAAGGTCAATACTTGAATGCTACTGCGTGGACATGCGAAGAAATGATGAAAAGGGCTATATTTGCCAGAGAATTGGGAGTTCCTATTGTAATGCATGACTACCTAACAGGGGGATTCACTGCAAATACTAGCTTGGCTCATTATTGCCGAGATAATGGTCTACTTCTTCACATCCACCGCGCAATGCATGTAGTTATTGGTAGACAGAAGAATCATGGTATACACTTCCGTGTACTAGCTAAAGCGTTACGTATGTCTGGTGGAGATCATATTCATTCCGGTACCGTAGTAGGTAAACTTGAAGGGTAAAGAGAAATCACTTTGGGCTTTGTTGATTTACTGCGTGATGATTTTATTGAAAAAGATAGAAGTCGCGGTATTTATTTCACCCTATATATATATATATATATATATATATATATATATATATATATATATATATATATATCACTTTTCATTCACCCTTACATCCTAAATATTATCAGATATTTTATATATTTTACTAAGCTAAACCATAGTTATCCTATAAAGTTGAGTGAAATCTAAGTATCTAAATGATATGACCATTAATATATCGCCATATAGTCCACCTTTGCTCCAATTATATATATATGAAATAATAACTAAATACATAAAGATGTCATTTAAAATTTTAAACCAATAATTATATAAAAATAAATACATATTTTATTTAAAAATAAATTGTGTGATTGCTACAATTCTTTATAAGAAATAATAATAATAATAATAATAATGTGGTGATAGGATATAGGTAATGGTTTGATGGTATGTGTCGGCCAGGTTTGGGCTTATCTTGAAGCCGAATAAAAACCAACGTAGCGGGCGTGCCGACTCGACAACATACACCTCCGTTAGCAGCCAACGCACACTTTACTTGTCTTCTTTTGTTAAATCCGTCATCTTCTTCTATAAATACACAATCATTCTTCCCCAAATTCACTTTCACCAATCGCTCAGCCACCGCCACACATGGAGGTAGACGGCGGGTGTTCATCATCTAAGAGAAAGGAGATTCACTCAATTGAAACCAACAAACCCTACAGAGGAATCAGGATGAGGAAGTGGGGGAAGTGGGTTGCCGAGATTCGAGAACCCAATAAACGTTCTCGTATCTGGCTTGGTTCTTACTCCTCCCCCGTCGCCGCCGCCCGTGCCTACGACACCGCCGTTTTTTACCTCCGTGGCCCATCGGCACGTCTTAATTTCCCTGATTCAATCGGAGACGACGGGGACTTACATGACCTCTCCTCCGCTTCGATTAGAAAGAAGGCGACTGAGGTCGGAGCTAAGGTGGACGCTCTCCAGAATCAGCACGGAGGTACCCACCACCACCACCACTCTCCGTCGACCGGAGGACTTTCGGGTCGCGTCTGTTTAAACACGGATTTGAACGAGTACCCGAGTCCAGAATCTTCCGACGAGAATTAACGGTGAGATAACGACAAATGTATTTGTTCACATGGGGTTGACGGCGTTAATTTCGGAGGGATATATCGTCTTTTTTCCTTTTTTTAAATATTATTTGGTGGGTTGGGTGTAGATTATGTAGGTGGATAGATGGAGAATCCGAAGGGATTAAATGTTTTATTATCTGAAAATATTGTTTTTATTTTTCCTAAATTATGCAAAAAAAAAACCCGAAAGAGGTTTATTATTTATTTGTTTTTCTTATTTCAGTTTTCCTTTTTTAGTAAGAATCATTGGACAAATATTATTTATTTATTTATTAATTTTGAGATGTGATAGATGAAGATGACATTGTGAATTGTCTTATAGACTAAAACCACAAGACTATGAAATGTCTATCTTAGAACTTCTTCAATAATTTATTTATAGTTTATTATAGGGATAATGACTTGAAAGGGTAACGAACTTTCGACTTTGTTCACATTTAGTCACTAAACTTTTTTTCGTTATCTATTTGCCACTGAACTATTGAAAATGTTCACATTTTACCCTTATGACCGGCTGTTACCGGTCATAAGGGTAAAATGTGAACAATTTTAATAGTTTAGTGGCAAATAGATAACGAAAAAAAGTTTAGTGACTAAATGTGAACAAAATCGAAAGTTCGTTTCCCTCTAAAAAGTTCAATGACTAAATGTGAACAAACTTCCTCTTGTATTATGTTTTAGCAAATTATTTATTTTTGTTAAATTGTACCAACATTTGTTGATGAAGAAATCTATGAAATAAAAAAAACAAAACCCCGAAAAATATATTAAAAAAAACGAAAAACCGAAACCGAAATAAAAAATCAATGGTTTGGTATTTTCCAAAATAAAAAATCACAATTTTCCAATCTGATTTTGGTTTTACAAAAAAATGAACCATTCTCACTGATGTGAATTATGACCATTGGTTTGGCTTGCGGAATTAAAGCACACACAAAGAACACGGTGATTTGGGTGTTTAAGAGATGCATTCGATTACAAAAGGTGTTTACAAAAAAGGATGTAGATCTAAATCTACATAATTAACACACACTAACACTCTCAATGTTACATCTCTCAAGCACACCTTTACATGTGGTATGAACCCACCTTATATAGAGGTGTTTACAAGTCGCTCTCTCTCTCTATCTCTCATGTCATAAAGGGGGAGTTTTTGATAGAAAATTCTGAATTGAGCGCTTTCTCATTCCCTTTTTGGTTTTATAATCATTTTTCGATTATAAAAAGGGGAAGGGATTTAGATATGAAAATCCGAAAGTTGAATTTTTGTAAAAGCAAAATCAGATTGGAAAATTGTGATTTTTTATTTTGGAAAATACCAAACCATTGGTTTTTTATTTCGGTTTCGATTTTTCGTTTTTTTTAATATATTTTTCGGGGTTTTGTTTTTTTTTATTTCATAGATTTCTTCATCAACAAATGTTGCTACAATTTAACAAAAATAAATAATTTGCTAAAACATAATACAAGAGGAAGTTTGTTCACATTTAGTCATTGAACTTTTTATAGGGTAACGAACTTTCAACTTTGTTCACATTTAGTCACTAAACTTTTTTCGTTATCTATTTGCCACTAAACTATTGATATTGTTCACATTTTACACTTATGACCGGTAACAGCCGGTCATAAGGGTAAAATGTGAACAATTTCAATAGTTCAGTGGCAAATAGATAACGAAAAAAAGTTTAGTGACTAAATGTGAACAAAGTCGAAAGTTCGTTACCCTTTCAAGTCATTATCCCTTTATTATAATTAATTTTTCTAATTGATATTCAAAAATATATTTTAGGGAAATCTTCCATAAAAACTCAATATTTTGGGTTAGTTTTATTTTTTAAACAGAAAAGTATTGTTTATCTAATTTTATACGATAATATGTCATAGTCTATTGAAAGAAAAAATAAACATTGTTTTGTTATATTGGACAAAATATAGAATAATCGAAACTTTTTTGTTCAAAAAAAAAGAATTATAATTAAACCATAAACGGACCTAAAATATTGAGACATTATCGAAATTGAAATAACGACTCAAGAGAGTAATCAAGTGTTGGGATTGTTCACATTTTGTCTCTTTCTTGTTAAAAGGTTTATGATGATCAAACAACAAATTCGATGATATATTTTATTGGATTAAAAAAAAGGGGTTAGATGTGAACAAACTCGACAGTTGGTCACCTTCCTGAGTTATTTTCCTTTTGTTCATTTACAGAAAATCTTACGTCATCTCCTGCTCATATTAATGACTTTATGAGATTCTTTCTTGCTTCTCTTTAAAACATAACCCACAAAGAACATTATTTATACATGTACAACTTTATAATGCATTTTCATATTTATTAGAAAAATCTTGATTGTGCATGTGCACGACTATATTTACATTTCCAATCAAATATCGTATCATGGATTCTGGACAGGTCTACAAACGAGTGGAATCACAAAAATGCTTTGATATTTTAGTTTACTTGGATATAAAATCAAATTCATTGGATAAGATATAACATCAATATGTACCAGATCATGCAGCTTTTGCAAGCACAACACCATAATATACCGTGAGCTAAACGTTTATGCTAATAAAGATATCTCTCATACACAATAATATCCTTTTACAGAGAGTTATTTACAGCTAACCACAGTAAGCCTAGCATAGACCATGTTTTGACCAAGCTACCCCTTCGAAACGCTCTTCATATCCGTTATCGCTTAAGAAGGTTGCAGTCTTTAATACTTTTGTAGGTTTAATTTCATTTAACTTTTCGGGGAAAATGACCCACGAAGGTAACTAACTATTGCACTTGTTCACATTTGGTCACAGATGATAGCCGGTCAAAAGGGTTATAGTGACCACAAACAACAAGTTCGATGGTATATTGGGTACAAAAAAAAGGAAATATACTAAATGTGAACAAACTCAACAGTTGGTTACCCTCCTGAGTTATTATCCTATCGAGATTTCACATTAATTTGTTTTTATTGACCATTTAATATACACATTATTTGATAGTCAATATATTTTGGTTATATTTCCATTTACTTCTTAAATATATTTTAATTTCACGTAATTTATTATTTACTAATTAAATATTTTTTATTAAATATTTAATTTCATTTTATTTGTGAAATATAAAAATATAACGATTATATAGTTTTTTTTTCTTTTTATAATTTTGAGTTTTGTTTGTATTAATGTATAAAGTTTTCCAAACGAACGACGTATGGTAATATAATTTTTTGAAATAATATATTGTAATATTACTAAAAAATTAAAATACGATGAAAAAGCGACTAATCAAATAAAAAAAGGATTTATAGATTATTTTAGATAAATACAGATAAATTAGTCAATCTTTTATATAAATTTTGAAAAGATGATAATTATTGAAAGAATTACTTAGAGGTTAAAGTTAGTGGAATGATTATGTAATAATAATTCTAATTCTAAGTAACTTTGTAAATGCTTTTGCTACCATTGTCATGATATTATTCATTTTCTTTTATTTAGGAAAATTGACTTATTAAATTAATTAACTTTTGAGTATGTTCATATATATATATATATATATATATATATATATATATATATATATATATATATATATATATTGTACACATCTAGGTAACGAAGTTGTTAGAAATGTTCACACATCTAGGTAACAAAGTTGTTGAAAAACATTATGATCAACTATCTTAATAAAAATGGGAATTGATTTATCAGGGTAATTATCTTTTCGTTGTGTTCGTATTTTGGTAACTTTTGTTTTTTGTATACATCTAGGTAACGAATTTATTGAAAGTGTTTACATAAATTCATTATGACTGGATGTAACCTACTACAACCGTTCATAATAGTCATATTTGAAAATTTTAACAAGTTCGTTACCTAGATTTGTAAAAAACAAAATAATTACCCATATGTTAGTCAAATTCCTTTTTATTTATTTATTTGTATAGAAAAGTTTAAACTATTATATTTTTCCATTAAAATTACACTCGTACGGTAGAAATAAAAGAACAAAATATAAAAGAAAAAAAAATGAAGAAGTGTTCATCATGATATTACCATGAACGAAATAAAAGAAGGGGATGATGTTTTCTATAGTCCACCATAGTTCTAGTGGACTCGCTACAAGTACAATCAATGAATACATTTTCATCCTTTAAACTAATTGATAAATAAATAATAAAAATATATTTTTACGAAACAAATTTTGTAATGTATTAAAATGATTATACCCCTAGACTTATGTCTTGTTCTTGACTTTTTTTTAAGGAACGAAATAATATGAAATTTGCATTTTTAAGGTTTTTTTTTTCTAAAAGGAAGAAGAAAAAATAATAATAAAGTGTCTTCTTCCAAGTTTCATTTAAAAAGATAAAAAAAAAATAAACGAAAGAAAATAAAATTAAACATTTTTCCCTCAAAATCTATTCATTAAAAAAAGAGATGATTGGAAAGGAAAATTTCACTCCATTTTTTCCTTCCCTTTCATTCTATTTTTCTTTTTCTACCCTTGTTTTAAACCTGAGAACAAGATGTAACTAATAAATAAATTTTTCTACCCTTCAGTTTTAAACCTGAGAATAAAATGTAACTAATAAATAAATAGCAAAATTATATTTTATACAAAAACATAATTCTTATTTGAGAAATTAAATATCCTCCTACCTTTTGTTCATATCAATCCTCCTACCCATTTAATTGATAACATGTGTCATATTACTATCCTAAAATATCATTAAATTTCATTAAATGAGCATTAAATGTTATACATGTCACAATTTTATTGGATAGGATGATATGTAGGAACAAAAAGTAGGAGGATATTTAATTTCTCTTCTTATTTTATTAAAATAAACAATTGAAATTTTTGTTAATAAAAACATATTACTTTTTATGATATTTTTTGAATAAAATATTGTAGTAGTTGATTATTTTCATCGTCAAGGACAATGATTTTTAAAAAACAAAAAT